GAGGAGCCTCCCACCAGCTTCCACGTACTCGCCACACTCGTGGGTGATGACCAGCACCAGTTTGATGAGCTTCTTGAAACAGGAGACGCAGACCCAGGCCAGCTCTTCCAGCTGCCTGGGGACCTCCGCTTTTAGGTGGCGCCGCCGGTCCGCATGGCTCCTCTTCCTGGCCTGCTTGTGCTTCCCGCCAGCCGGCGCAGATCTACCCTCCCGCTTGGCATTCTCCTTCCCGTCCTCCTTGTCCTTCGTGCCAGAGCGGTGCCTCTGGCGTCTCCCATTCTTCCTGCCGCCGAGCACCCTGCCAGAGTCCGAAGGGTCCTCGCTGGCCTTGGACACTCCGTCATCTTCCTCGTCTTCCTCCTGGCCCTGCAGCGATGGGGCTGAATCAGGAGCAAAGGCTTCGTCCTCAGCTCCAGGGGACTCCGAAGCCCAGTGCTGGCAGGTGATGCTACACGAACAGTTCCCCTTTTCCAAATAAGTCCTGGAGAGATCCAAACTCTCCCCCTGACAACTACAGGAACGTTCGTAACTGGACAGACAGGAGCCAGGAGCACTGGACTCAGTAAAGTGCAAGCCATCCTCTTCGAGCAACCCCGCCGGTACTCGGTCGCAGCTTCCATTCCAACCAACACCCTCCCCTGCGGTGCAGGCAGGGCTCTGCCCGCCGCCTTCTGGAAAGCCCTGATGGGGAGAACAGGCGGCCTCCTCCACCTTCCCTAGCCTCTCGGCTGCTGGCTCGGCTAGCAATGTCCCAGCAGCAGCTGGCCCATGAGCCTCCATGGGTTCAAAGCCTTCGGTGGCTCCGTGGAGTTGTTTCGGCCAGCGCTGGCTCGGAGACGTACGCTCGGGGCCTTCAGGACTGCAGCATTCTTGGAAGAAGTGACAGCCGCTAGGCCCAGTGCTTCCCGGATCCCCAAAACTTGAGAACAAGGGTCTGTTATCCACACAAGGGCTGGCCCCTGGTGCACCCCTGCCCTCGGAGAGCTCGCCACTCCAGCAGCAGGAACTAGCCGGTTTGGCTTCACACATCCCTCCTCCTCCAGACATCTGCTTCTCCACTGCCTCACCCCCAAAGCCGCCCTGGAGCAGCAAGGGCTAAGTTACAGCTGTCATTTTGTAGCCTTTATCCTGCAAGTTAAAAAAAAATAAAATAAAAATCAAATCAAAGGTGTCAAAACCAGGCTCAAGGCCAAGATACGTAGCGTGAGGGCTCGAAGGCTAGCCCTGGCCGGGAATCGAGAGTGGTCTCCGAGGCTCATTCTCAAACCCACAGTCCAGGCGACTGGACCTACCTTCTGACGCACTGAGAGCGGAGCGGACTGGGGGCCCCTGGAAGGGGAGACAGAGCTTTCCCCACCTCAACTCATTCGTAGACAGCAGCAACCACCCAATAGCTGTTTGCGGAAGAGCCACTGAGATCGGCAGACGGTCGTAGTCCGGATCCCAGGTATTCAGCTCTCAAAACTCTACCCCCACAAGTGCCAGCGAACTCCCCTCTCACCCCACAGCAGTCGTGGGAAGCTGACGCTCGTGCTAGCCGTGGCCGTACAGAACTTCCTCGCACGCAGCTTTCACCAGCACTTGAAGAGAAATCCACTGGCCATCGCTTAAGTCACCAGGTTTCCTGCCCAGGCTCCAGGAATCCGAAGTGACCCTCTGGGAGGCTGTTCCTCGCCCGACAGGTGTCACTACAAAGCCTGTGGGGAGAACAGATAGTAAAGTGCCGTCACTTGACTGCGGATTAGGAAGAGCCCACGCGGCATGGCAGAGTCTCAGCGGGCCCCCGCTCTCCCCTGAAGCTCTAGCTCCTCGCTTGGATTTAACCCGGTCAACGGCCCTGAAATCCCGGCCCAGATCTGGACTATGGACTCACGTGCCTCTCACGTCTGCCACGGCCTCGTCCACTGGGGGGGCGGCAGCTCGGTCCCAGCCCGTTCCTAGCGAGCCGCTCGCCCCAGCATCGGGCTCCAGCCGCTTCCCCTGCCTCCTGCCTCAGTTTCCCGTGTCGCCAGCTGCCGCGAAAAGCCCTAAGCCCGGCCCCGCGCGGGGGGGGGAGGGCGGCGAAGAGGCAGGACGGAGCAGTGGTCAGAGCACTATCCTGGTTCCCAGGACCACGCGGGACCCGGCCCGGCCCCGCCCCGCTGCCGGGGGTCAGCCAGACCCAGCGCCCCCCCCCGCCCCCGCCCCCGCCCCCGCCCTCCGCCTCAGCACTGGGGGGGCATCGTCCCCCCACTTCTCCGACACGAGGCCTCCGGGACCCCCCCGCGCCCCCCACGTGCCCCT